GATTAGTGACAGCATAAACAATAAAATTTCTTATTGTTTTAATGCAAAGTCTAATCTTGTTACATATAAAGAGAGAATAAAGTCTTAATATTCTACCTTTTACAGAAAAGCAATAAATGATGAAATGGATTTGATAATGGGAAATAACATTTGCATTTTGGTTAAACTTTCATTTGGTTATAATCTAATAGGTTATAAATAGATTTAAAAAAAAATGAAGATGGATGGGACTGTAGATAAATTTAGTGTAAGGTTGGTAGCCAAGGGCTTTACACAAAAGTAAGAGATAGACTATTTTGATATTTATTCTTTAATAGTTAGAATTGCTACAATTAGGCTTCTAATTTCACTTGTCTCGATTTATAATTTGATTACACATTAAATGAATGTAAAGATGGCATTTTTAAATAATGAATTAAAAGATGAAGTATATATGGAACAACTAGAAGGATTTATCATTCTAGGTTAAGAGCACAACGTTTGTAAACTTATAAAATCCTTGTATAGATTTAAGCAAGCACCAAAATAATAGCACTAAAAGTTTGATGAAATCATTCTTATTAATGATTTTAGAATTAATAAGTCAGATAAGTGCATATATAGCAAATTTGAAAAAGGTAAATGAGTCATAATTTGTTTATGATGTGGATAATATGCCAATATTTGGCATTGATTCAAAACAAGTTAAGGAAACAAAGAAATTTTTGTTAAATAACTTTTCAATAAAATGTATAGGTGTAGTGGATGTTATTCTTAGAATTAGAATTATCCATAATGATAGTGGCATAACCTTGTCACAGTCACATTATGTTGAAAAAGTACTTAAAAAGTTTGATATTTTTTTTTGTATTTCAATATCTACACCTATGGATTCTCAATTAAAATTAGTATCTACTATAGGTAGAACAATCAATTAATTGTAATATGCAAGATTAATTAGTTATCTGATGTATGCAATAACTTATATAAGGCCAGACATAACATTTGTTATTAGAAAGTTAAGTAAATACAAAAGCAATCCAAGTAACTTGCATTGGTAAGCAGTTAAAAAGTACTTCGATATTTAAAGAAAATAATCAATTGTGGATTGTGTTATAATGGATATTCTTCAGTTATAGAAATATATTCTAATACTAGTTGGATTACTAATATGAAAAATCATGCTTCTACAAGTGATAGATCTTTGTACTTGGTGGAGGTGCCATTTATTGGGATTTCAAAAAACAAACACGCATAACAGATTCCACCATGGCAGACGAGTTTATTGCTTTAGCCGTAATAACTAAAGAAGTTAAATAGCTAATAATTTATTATATAAAGTACCTTTATGGCCTAAATCAATTTTTTGAATTTCTATATGATGTGATAGTGAAGCAACTCTAGCAAGGGCATATAGCAAAGTATATAAAGAAAAGTCTAGACATATTGGATTAAGACATAGTTATATTCAACAATTAATTTCAAATAGAGTGATCATTATAAATTATGTAAGGTCAAGTGAAAACTTGGTGAATCCTTCAACCAAAAGTCTTGCTATAGAGTTGGTAAAAAAAACTCCAAAAAATGATGGGGCTCAAGTTCATGAAGTAAAGTCACCTATTATGGAAACTCAACTCAACGTTTAGTATAACGTTAAGTCTTGAGTTCAATGAGACAAAATACATCATCTGTGTTTGACTGTTAACACTATAGTAATGTTTAATGTCATCCTAGATAAAATGCTTTGTACCCGTAATGATAAAGGAATGATAAGTAATATAACATAAATATGTTAGACTATTATAATTACGGAACACTCTAGCTAGGAGCTACCTATGTGAGTGTGAAGTGTGGTTGCTTATTAGAGTTTAAAAGCTTGGTTCTAACAACACTCATAAAAAAAAGATGTAGACTCATGGCCATATATGTGTCACCGAATACCAGGTGTTGAAATCATTGTGTGAGACAAGTTCGGTTAATCAAAGCTGGTTCAAAACATAGTTTACCATACGAATTCAGTTAACTTTAACTTGTTTTCACTAAGTGAAGGTTCAAATCGAAAGATATATTTATTATGTAATTGATTTTCAAGATCATCATAAATCTAGATTATTTTGAAAATGGTAGGGGATTGTTAAAGATTTTTAAAATAAAATATGAAAAATAATCTTATATTAGAAAAGAAAAAATAAAAATAAATAGTTAAGTTTGTTCAAAATAGTGAGATAAGTCTGTTCAAAATGAACATTTTTAACTGTTTAAAAATCGATTATTTTTGTCTATTCAAAATAGACAGTCATTTTTGTAAGAAATAACACTTTTCTATTTATAAAAGGCTTATTTGATTTTTTAAAAATACACAAAAATAATTCTTGGAACTCTCTCTCTTTCTTAAAACTCTATATTTCTTTTATAAAAGTTTTGCTACAAAAAATCTTTATTGAAGTTCAATGATCTTTTGATACGTTAGTGATTGTTAGATGGATTAATTTTGTCAGTGCAAAACGTAATTAATCACTGAGCTTCATTGTATCTTCAAAGTTTACTACTTACAACCCTTTTGCACACTTACTAATTAAATAATATTGTGAGGGCAAATAAAACCTTAAGGAAAGTAGCACCGTTACATGCCTTGGAGTATTTCTTCAAAATTTCATATTTATCGAAAACAATAATTTCAATTTTTTAGTGTTTGCTCTAATTTACACCTTAAGAATTACTCAATAGGCCCTAAAATTTTTATTACAAATTTAACTTTTAGTAAAATTATTTAAATACCTATTAATTAATTTTTTTTTATCCTTTACATACCTTACATTTTTTTTTCTTTTCTTCTCCTTTCCAGACTAGCAGTAGTTTTTTTCTCTTTTTCTTTTTAGTAACAAGTCATATTGTTGTCAAAATTCATAATCAAAATTTGTAATATATTATATACTGCCAAAATAGGAAGTGAACTTAAGAGAAACAATTATTACAATGAAGATTTGAAAATGATGATTGGGTAAGTTGATTTTCAGAAATAGATATTCAAAAGTTTTTAAGAGTTTCTAGAAATCTATTTTCTAAAGTTTCAAATCGTATTGAAACACTTAAACCCTAAATTTTATGAAACTACACAAGAAATAAAACAAAATATATAAAAAAACAAACAATTTACTTTTGATTATAAGTTTTCTAACTTCACATGGGTGAATTTTAATTTGAATCTAGTTTCAAATTTTTAGGGTTTACTGTTGGAAAGAGGAGAGAAAGGAGATGGGGTGTGAGGGAAATTAGATAGGGTGTTTGGATGTTTTGATAAATTTTTATTTTTAGTGTGGAATGTGATGAATAAAAAATGAAATATTAAAACGGTGTTAGGGTGCAAATAGCAACCATCTTATTGAATTTTTATTTGAGGATCTTTTTGACCTTTTTGTCACCAAACAAACATATGCATAAAATATCATCTAATTATTATTTGAAGAAATATTTAAAGACAATTAAATTGGCTTGAACATGAAACTCAAGCTTATAAAAGAAATTATAATTGGTTCAACCTCTTTATGATTTCATTTGATTTTGATTTTGCATGTGAAGTTTAAATCAAAATAATTTAGTATAAAAAATTTACTCACAATTAACCATTCATCCATCTTTTATGAGATAATATTATAAAAAAATTATCGAATCATGCATTAAAATCATGTGTGAATACATAGAATTATAACGATAAATTATATGTAAGGCTTTAGTTTAAAATTAGATTTTTATAAAAAAATCATATTATGAAAATAAAAAATTATAATTTAGATTTTATATGATACAAAATCTTAATCTATGGTCATGATACTCACATTCTTCTTTCTTTTCATTTCTTTAATTTGCACATTGCTTTCAACTTTATATTATAATAAAATAATGTAAACTTTGAGCATACAATGGAATCAAAACCAACAAATATAACATTTGACATTGAAATAAAGTATTATTTTCAATGGTGAAAGTATTCTATTAGTGAAGGTGGTTGACACTAACTTAGTGATTGTCTCTCATCTTCCTTGTTTTGTTGCTCAAACAAGGTTTTATGCTTCCATTAACTTAATAAATATTCTCATTTCCACTTTTCCTAAGCTTAAATTTATCGTATTAAATGTATTCATAATTTGATTTTCAATAATTTTTTTTAATTTAGGAGAATAACAACAACATTTAAAAAAAGGCTAATGAAATCTTCAAAGTTAATTAGATTTTCATTTCTTATATGTTAATAATAATTAAAAAAAAGTAAAAATAAATTATTTACTAATTGCAATTTAAAAATTAAAAATTTTATTTCTTATAGGTACGTTGATGTGTATAATTAGTATCAAATTTGACTTTTTCAAAAATAACAATGAAAAACTATTGTTAGATTATTAGTTTTGAGTTTAATATTATAAAAATATAAATTTTTTAATAAAATATAATTTGTAAAGTGAATAAGTAAATTGCACGAACACCGAATTAAAGATATTTTTGAAAATGTAATAATTATATCAATAAACAATTGACTCAATTAATTAAGATTTATTTTTTTTGATAAAAAATTTTTAAATTTAAATTTTATTAATAATTATTTATTGAGATCATTTTAAATATATGATTTATGATCACTTATCTTATATTATCAAATATAAAATAAATTTGAGGGAATGAATAATTTATTTATCTCGATTTTTTTTACTAACAAAAATAATTATAAAAAAAAAGGAAAAAAAAAAAAGAAAAACGCCGTTAGTTTCACTTGCAATTAGTGACGACTGACTTGACCGACTTCAAAACAGTGAAATGAGTTATACTACGAGTGTATTCCTACTTACCAACTCACGTGATCTGTTACAAACAAACAACCGACGTTAAGAATCGCCGTTAACATGGACGGAGAAATCCCACGTTTTTCCAAATCCCAATGGAAAACGCCAAAATCTCCGTCACCCCTCAATCACGTTTTTCCTTTTCCAGCCACCTTCCATGTATTCTTCCTATATTACCATATAAAAGCCAGCTGAAATGGTTTCATAGATTCATCAATTTCCAAAGGCCAAAGATCAAGTAATAAAGAGAAAATAAAAAGAAGAGAATTTTTAAGATGGGTGTTGATTTAGAATCTTTATCAGAGGCAACTTCAGGTGCTATAGGTTCACTGTTAAGCACGACGATTTTGTACCCTCTTGATACCTGCAAAACCAAGTATCAAGCCGAGGCTCAAGCCGATAGTCAACGAAAATACAGGTCACCCATTTCTTATTTTCGGTTCTTTTTTATGTTTTCAATTATGGGTTTATTTTGTTTTGTTGTGAAATTTCGTTTCTTTGTTGTTTGGTGTTTGAATTTATGTTGAATTAATCTCTTTTTTAATATGGCTTCACTACTTTTATTTGTTGTGTTGATTGATATGTGAGGTTCAAAGGATCGAAGTTATCTTTTTTTTTTTTTTAAATTAAAAAATGTTATTTTTTCCTGGTGTTGTATTCTTGAATGAGTTAGCAATGGAAGAGAACAAGCTTAGAGCAGAAGAGTAATTTAACAAGTGAAAACTTGCTACTTATATGTGATTTGCTTATTAATTCACATGAATATAATCCTAGCATAATAAGGTACGTTAATTGTGTTGGATCATAAGATGTTGATTTCATTATAACCTTGCTGTTTTTCTGGTCATGTCTTTCTTTTTTCATAGTTATTGGTGTGGAAAATTGGCGTGGTGGGTCTCAGATGATGACCTGCAAGGCCATAGACAGAAGATTGGAGTTGATTCTGACCTAACCCTTGGGAGCAATGAGTGAGAAAGGAAAGAGAGTAGTAGACGAATAAATTTACCATATTCTTATCGCGCATGATGACATTACCATAATTTCCTTTAGTATAATTATCCGTACTAAGTCATCTGAGATTCTTTTGAGAGGATTGTTTTTCCTTTATGATCAGATCACATGGTTGAAAGGTGAAACTGATTATTCCTATTTCATTGTCCCAACTGCTCCATATGAAGGATGTTTTTTCCACGTGTGCCATACTGCTTGGCCTGTTGGCAATGCAGGAATGATTTTTCTTGGATTAAGCTTGTCATTTTCTGATCTCAATTTCTTATCTTATATAGGAACCTTTCAGATGTATTTTGGGAAGCGATATCCACCCGCCAAGTTCTTTCCTTATACCAGGGCCTAGGCACAAAAAACCTTCAGTCATTCATTGCACAATTTGTCTACTTCTATGGATATAGCTATTTCAAAAGACTGTATCTAGAAAAGAGTGGTTCCAAGTTTATTGGAACAAAAGCAAACTTGGTTCTTGCTGCTGCAGCAGGGGCTTGTACTGCTATTGTCACGCAGGTGAGATATCATTTGGCAAGTCTTTTATGTTTTTGTTTTTAATATATAAATGTTTTTATCCATCCATGCAAACAGTTTCTTTTCTACTTCAAATCTAGCATATCGACACTGAGCTGTAGGATGCTTTGGAAAAATATTGAATACTCAACCTTCTATGTTCACTTGGGAGACTACCTTGTATGATTAGTACTCTTGCTTGGCGGCATTCCATGTGATTGCTGCAAAGACAGATAATCAGAAAATAAAACGAAAGGAATAAAAATGTAGAATGCAAGTCTTTGGTGTTTAGATTATAGATCCTGGGTGTTGTATTATTGAGCAATAAAAGGGTAAAATATGACTAATCTCTGATTATAGGCAACACTTTCATTGAATATTTTGATTATGAGTGACTGTTCAGAACTTCAGATGAATACCCCTCCAGTTTATCTACGTGGAGATAGGTAACAGTAATATGAAATTGTATACTATTACTAATATTATTAACTTTTGAACTGAAGTGGAAAAGATACTGATGTTGTTGCCAATAAAGTTTCAAGTATCTTTACTTTTTATGTAGAATTTCACATAACCGAAGAGCATGTATATTTTAGTTTGGAGTTTGATGTCGAATACTTGGTTTATCATTTGTAGCCCCTGGATACAGCCTCCTCAAGGATGCAGACTAGTGCGTTCGGAAAATCCAAAGGACTCTGGAAGACCCTCACAGAGGGCACCTTCAGTGATGCATTTGATGGCCTTGGCATCTCTCTTTTGCTGACCTCCAACCCTGCAATTCAGGTGCTAAACCTTGCTTTGAATTTATAAGAGTGGAGTGTCTTGCTTCACACCTTTATTTTCAATTCTTACTCTTGATTTTTAAGTTTCCTTCCTCATAACTAAGGCTAGAACTTTGGTAAACTGCAGTATACAGTTTTTGATCAGCTGAAACAACGACTACTTAAGAAAAGATTGAAGGAAGCAGACAAAGGTTCATCCCCAGTAGTTCTATCTGCCTTCACAGCTTTCCTGTTAGGTGCAATATCAAAGAGTGTTGCAACGTTTTTGACTTATCCAGCAATCAGGTGCATAGCCACTCTCTCAAATTCACACGCTAGAAGAATGCTGTGTTGTGGACTATAAGGAACTAATTCATATGTCTACTCAATGCAGGTGTAAGGTAATGATTCAAGCTGCAGATCCAGATGATGATGATGATAAAACTAAGAGAGCTCGACCAAAATCCCGTAAAACTGTGTCAGCAGTTGCTTTTGCTATTTGGAGAAGGGAAGGGATTCCTGGCTTTTTCAAGGGATTAGAGGCCCAGATCACGAAGACCGTACTAAGCTCTGCTTTGCTTCTGATGATCAAAGAGAAAATTACAGCCACCACTTGGGTTCTCATACTTGCTATCCAAAGGTATCTATTGCTAACAAGGGGTAGATTAAAAAATGTGTGACAAGTATAATATCAACTATTATTTGGAGATAAGTGAATAATCTGGCTTCATTTGAATACAAACCATTTGTAATTTATAGAGTAAGGTACAAATTCTTTGAAGCATAGCTGCCGCAACATTGATGCTCATTTAGGTAAACCAATCAGAGCTATCTCTGGTTGCTTCATCCTCAAAATAAGTTTGTATCGATGCAGGAACATAATGCAAAACACTCACATCGATATTACTGGTATGATATACCCGCATGTTCTGTTTGAATGAAAATTTCATTATTGTTTGTCAATGTTTTTGTGCTACAAGAAGGAAGAGTTATTGCTTGAACCCAGGAAATGGCTGTTTCTAGCCTTCCATCAAGTTTTTGCTGCTTTTATCTAAATGATTCAGGAGCTGTTCCTTGCTAGATGCATTGAAATACTGTTTCCATGACAGGCACAGCCATAAATAAGGCAAATTTTCATGGGATTCTTTTAGTGGCATGTATAAATTGAAACTATTCTAAGATAAAATGTTAGCAAGGCTAATTTCTTTAGAATTTAATTCAGGTATACGGTGAAAGGTTTTAATCTGTGTGTTGTTGACAATAAAGCTTGTTGAGGGGTCAATCACAAGCCAATTAGGTGGCTAGTTTATCAGTCAACTTCTTGTCGGTATGTATCATCCATGATTAGTGTTCATAATTTAATTTTAATCGAATAATTAATTAAATTGATTGAATTTGATTAATTAATTAATCATCGATTTAATTTTGATAAATTAATAATTAATAAAAATAATTGTAAAAAATTTTGATTTAAGTTAATTCAATTAGAAATTTGATTTAAAAATTAAATTAATTAAATTAATCAAAAAATTTTTGAAATATAATAAAATTTAAATATAAAATATAAAATATGTAAAATAAATTATTTTATTTACATATAAGTAAAATTTTTAATATATATATTTTTTGTGCTAAGGAGGCAATGACGCGTAACCCAGATGTTGCATTGGAGTACTCGTAGGATAGCCAATACCTACAAATTCAGCTAGTAAGAAAAAAAGTCAAATATTTGGGAGAGTACACCAAATTAACAAAACCAAACGGTTGTGTCAGAATGTCAGATTCCATTTTGCCATCCAGTCCGCGGCGCTGTTCCTTTCCCTATGAATCTGTGAGATTTTCCTCTGCCATTCTTTTCGGAGAAGATCATGTTAATGGTATTTATGGAGTCTGACTTAATTTTTACGAATTTAAATACTTTAGTTCAAGCACAAGTAAAACTTTGGTATAAAGCCTAGAATTTTGCAAGATCAATGTAACATTTTGATCTTTGAGTATTTTGATACATAATTTTATTTAATTTATTTAAAATATAAAATATATAAAATATATTTATTATTTGATTAATAAAAAATTAATCAAACTGATTTAATTAAATTCCATCAATTAATTTTTAAAATAAATAAATTCAATTTAATTAATATAAATAATAGAATATAATCCCATTAATTCAATTCAAAATTAATTAAATCAGGAACACTCCTATTCATAACAGCAGCTTTAGCTCTAAAATTACTAGTAAGAATTGGAGCTTAGCCCAAGCCAGTCCGCGTAACCAAACCAAATCAGAAATGTAGTTTCGTTAGTGGGCCAGTTCCCTCCACCCATGAATCGAAACCCTGTCTTAATCCAAACCTTTCGCTCTTCAAAGAAAGACAAAAACATACAAATAATTACCCAAAAAAAAAGGAATAATAAAACAAATAAAACCTCTCGACTTCAATAAGAGGGAGAGACATCGGTAGAACAAAGAGAAGAAGGAAGAAAAAAGTTGAAAAGAAAAGAGAAGAAAAGATGATGTCCGGAGGTTATACCAGCATTGATAATCAGAAAGTTTCTGGATCTGTTCCCGTAAGTTTTATTTAATAAATTATCGCTTTTTAAAATTTTTTTTCTTAATTTAGGATTTTATTACGTTTTTTTAGCTGAAATTAATCAGATCTCATTCGCTAATTATTTTTTCAATCCTTAATTTCTCAGGCAGTTTCAGATCCCGGCCACGTGGCCGTCAAATTCACAGGTGCTCTCTCTCTCTCTCTCTCTCTCTCTCTTTTCCTTTTAATTGTCAAATTATGAATCTGAATTTAAATTCTTGTACTTTGTAGTATTAGTCGTTTGGTTGCTTTAAAATGTAGGAAAGGAAATCAGAGTTTAAAATGGATGTATTGAATGTGTATTTTAATCGATAATGAAGTGTTAGAGTGTGGTTTTAGCTAATTTGTGTATATATGGTTAAATTTTTAATTAATTAATTTATCTAAATTTGTAGATTCGAGCCTTCAAACATTTCCTCCATCCAGTGCGCAGGGGAAGATCTCTGGTGGAACTCAACCTCCTCGTGATGCAGATGGTATTTCCAATTCCATTTGATCTGAATTCCTTTAATTTTGTTTTCGTTTTCGGTGAATCTGATTTGTGACTGTGCTTATGCTTTGATTTGTTTATCCTGATGCATTATGTCTAGGATTCATGATCTCATTAGCTTTATGTGAATGAATTTGTGACTTAAAGATTAGATTTTGTTTTATATTGGGAAAGACGATCCATAACATTGATGACACATTTGAAATAGTTGCTATATGGATCGAGTAGTTGAGCAAAAGTGAATAGATCAAATAGATTAAATGTAGTTTCGGCTATGTTGTAGTTGAAATGAAAGATCTAATTAGCTTGTCGCGTGTACAACATTTGTTGTTATGTTGGTGAAAAATGATGGCATTTCTACTGAGGCAGATTCATTTTCAAGACCTGTTGGTGGCTCTGATGAACCGCAAGGAAGTGGCTGGTTTCGTACATTCACAGTTGCTGCATACAAGCCATACTTCGATGTTGATACTTCAGATGTTTTGGATAGACTTAAGGAGTCACTCTTTCCATTTAGAGGAACATTTACGGAGAAAACATCTACCAGCCCAGATTTGTGAGTTTTCTCCCTGTGACTAATTTATGTTTAGATAGAGTAGTGAGCTAAGCACTGATTAGTTGTTGAATGTAGATGTATGGAAAATTATTTAAGCTTGAGACTGGAAAGTTTCTTTTCTATTTCACATGATTAGAAACATTTATTTAGGAATTGGTGCCTAACACACTGAAAGAAGAGAAAAAAGAGTTGAAATTGGCAGGCTTTAGTGTCCTGGTTTTGGACAATCCTTAGACATGAAATACAAATGTGGATTTTAGAAAATCTGATTTTGCCTTTCTGTAACTATAATCGAATAACTTTAACTTTCATCTGATGGAAATATTCCACTTTGTCTCTTCTGCACCCATCTTTGCCTATCCCTATAAGTAGGAACATGCATGATTTAAAATTTAAATGTTGTGCAGATATGGACCATTCTGGATATGTACCACTCTTATATTTGTAGCAGCATCTATTGGGACTTTTGTGACCTATATAGCACACAAGCTCAAGAAAAAAGAATGGGATTATGACATAAATCTGGTGACATGGTCTGCTGGTGTGTTCTATGGCTATGTCACTGTGGTTCCTCTTGCCTTGTATGTTATTCTCAAGTACTTCTCAGCACCTTCAGGCCTTGTCCAGCTGTTTTGTCTGTATGGATACTCCTTATTTGTCTTTATTCCAGCATTGGTAAGATTTTTGGTTTTTGAATTTTGTTCTCTGAATGATAAGATTGTTTATCTGCCTTCTCATTTTATTTTTTCGGGAACCTTACTTTTAAAGATCTAAGTTGATCCCTCAGCCTCACCTTCTTTGCCCCAAATTTTAAAGAGATTCCAAGCATTAAAAAAACTGAGAAAACTGTCTGAACATTCACTCAAAAGCTAACACTTGGATTTCTAGCAATTTATTTATGGCGAGTCTTATTATTGGAACATTCTTACCCTTAACAACTTAACCTTTTGAAATAAAGCTTAGATGTGAGATATAGCAACCTTCGAGCAATGCTAGAAATTTCTTTTTGTAGCTAAAATTGTTGCTTCTACTTGGTTGCAGTGTCTGTCTGTTGTCCCCTTGGAAATTTTCAGATGGGTAATTGCAGGTGTAGCTGGATTCATGTCGGCAACTTTTGTGGCACTTAATCTCAAAGCTCATATTAAGTCAGCTGGGGAAAGATGGTTCTTGATCGTTGCTAGCATCTTTCTGTTGCAGCTGGCTCTCGCTGTTGTCCTCAAACTCTATTTGTTTACTGTTACCGTGTAAGATTTAACTGTTCTTTGATAAGCCAAAATCAGTTAGTTATAGATCAGAAAGAAAGAGAATTTTGGGCCTTTGACTTTTAATGGTTACAATCTTTGGCGGCAATATTTTATTCTTGATCAAGTAAAACATCTTGTATTCATTCATTTGTAATGCATATAAATGCAAGTGACTATTCCCACATGATTGCTTTCGATCACCATTTTTTCTTCAACCTTGGCTTATAGTTGTTCCTTTCTATATATGTATCTGAGAATGGCCAAAGCTAGCTATGGTCATTACACTGAAGCTCTTATCATGTACTGGTAATGTGCATCAACCATTAGGCTTTAAATACAGTAGATCTAAAATTAAATATATGAAATGTAAGTTTAGTAGTTGTAGAAAAATGAGGGTTAATGTGATTAGGTTGGGTGGTAAGGTAACATCAAAGAATAATTATTTTTTATTTTTGAAATTAATTATTCGAAACGATGTTAAAAATAAAAAGGGATATAAATTATAGGATTTAATCTAGTTGAGTGACATGGTGAAGTACGTCGGCCGTTTTGTGTGATTGCAACATTTTTTAAAATTAAACGTGAAGTTATGTAAGGTTTGCATTGATATATGGGATTAAGTATTAAGGCATTAAAAAAGAATAAGAGAAAAAAAGATGAGCGTAGTTGAGTTGAGAATATTTAGATGAATGTGTTATAAGAATAAAAGAGATAAAATCAAAAATGAAAATATTTTAAAAAAATTAATAGTAATTCAAATTAAGAAAAAAATGAGAGAAGATTATTTCAGATGATTTAGACATGTGAAATGCAAGTTTATTTATATGTCAATTATGAGAAATAAGCTTATGAATTTAGGAGAGATCAAAACTTTTAGAAATAATTATGACAAACGATGTAAGTAATAAAAAATAATACAAGGGTTAAAAAGTAAATGAAAATATTGTTTTTGATAAAAATGATTGATGTAAGAAAATTTAAAATTATAATTTAATATGAATTTTTTTTTAATCTTTTATACAATCAATTTAGAATTATAAGATATAAGATTTTATTTATTGTTATTATTGTTTATATATTTACTTTGTGATCGATTTTTCCATTTGAAATATCGGTTCAGTTCTTAGTTAAATCCTAAACCCATTATTTTGAAACTTGCGTTGATCGCCTTCATCGCCTCGGTGTTTGCCCTCGTGTCTTGAAATTGAACTTTGAACAATTAGAGAGGCAATTTTACAGCAAAAGAAAAGAGGATTCATGATGGTGAACCTGGAGAGTGAGATATCCATTGATGGGTGAAGGCTAAGAACATGGACCAAGTTTGGCTTTTATGGTAATAATCTGTCTCAATACTCAATTTCTTGCATCTTTCAGTCCAATAATTCAACACTGATTACACGGTTTATTATGGACAATTTCATTGAGAAAGCTTTGCTTGAAACAAGCAATTGTCAACATCACATCATTTCATGTTTTGGATCCGATGGAATGGAACAATTGGAAAAGTCATTAGAATGATGCTTCTTGAATTTTGTTTCCATGTCTATCCTTTGAGTCAAAACATGTGGGCTTTGCATCTCTCTTATTGGGGGCCTAAAGTTCTAACAATGCTATAATTAGCATGTTAGGGATGCTTGGACTTTGATTCACATAATAATCATGCAAAAATAAGATAAAAAGGTTGAAGTAAAGATTCAAATAGTAATTATGAATTTACTAAATTCGATATAAATAAGTTTATTAATAAATTTACTTGAATCGATATAAAAATGTATGAAGTAAAATCCGAAAACTCTTACGGCAAAGAAAAAAAAGACAAATCTCAACAGCAAGGTTGTAGAAATCATTATAAACATTGGGCAAGAACTGCCATAAGCAAAGTCCAAGAGAAGAAACAAACTATACTAAAATATTATTGGTTGTAACCCAAACCCTACAGCAGAAAAGATAAAGATGCCTTCTATAAGAAAAATGTGTTTGTTTTCTTCCACAGGCAAGGACCCTGGTTTTGAAACACAAAAAATTAATTAACAAAATGAAAAGTATAATAAAGAAATGGGAAGTGAGAACTGGTAGCCCTTGAAAACTGCATTAATATGGACATTAGCAACCTAATCTTTAGAAAAGGAAAATGAAGAAATGGAAAACAACTTAGGTAAGAGTCAAATGTAAGATCCTGAAAATGGGGTCCCTTGAGAGACAATTTTTGAGTTAGGTTTGGTTTTACCAATTTTTGGGTTAGGTTTGGCTTTAAATTATTGTTTAGATGTTGGAAATTGAGTGTCATTGGCTGGAACGGTCTGGGATTTGGACTGGAATGGACCAGGTCGGTGTAAATGACTTAACCATTCATCCACTCAAAAGTTCTAAAATGCCCTTAATTTTAATCACATATGATCATTAGTATTAATACATGTATGCTCAACTGTTGCAGGCATGATTGCACATCATAAATACAAGTTGAGTTGCTCCAACTCTTAATTTTCTTTGGTAAGTATTTGTGTCAGAACATAGATATAGAGATCTGACCCTTCAAAAACATTAAAAAAAAAATATATATATTCATATCCGACACTCATCACCGAATTCTAGTAATAAAGATCACATTCATCTGAATAACTCTTAAACAGTACAATCTGTGAATTGTCGTAGCAGTTGGGAAACTGTAATTGGTAACTTGGTTAACTTTCCAAGACAAACTTCTTTGGAAACATATAGAGCTTGTAGTTTTCTTCTTACACTGTTTCCATTGGGGGCAACTTTGTAATCAACATTATTAGACAGGTGCTAGCTGCTTCAATGGGCTTCTCCCATGGAAAGTTGCCCAAGCAAAAGTCTTTAAATCCCTCTCATCATTGTCAATGCAAGGGAATTTGACCAAAAAATTTTCACTTTTACACGCAATAACACCTTTTGAATATTTGGCTTTCCTCCCCTATATATTAATTCTACCAACTTAAACTGCTAGTCCAAACTCTTTCTCTGTCCTTATTCTCCAGCTTTAGCTTGTTTTGAAAGAGAGACCATGTTCCCAAGGAGTAGAGTAGGGTGTCTTTTATTGGTACTGCTGAGCATTTCAGCTCTACACCATGGAGTCTTGGGAGCAAGATTTCTAACAGAGAAGTTGGAAGATCAAGAGAAGTCCCAGAAAACTTGGAAGGAAAATCCTGACAACGGAACTGATGGCTTTTTTGCAACTATTAACAGAGAAGTACCCTCTTGTCCTGATCCACTGCACAACAGGTAGCAATGAAGCAACTGATATATTCATATATATATATATATATTATTTATCTCTATCCTTGAGAAGCTGTATATATACAAAATGGAAGCTGTTGATTATAGCTCTTACAAAACCTGGAGAATATGGTTTTTCTCCGTTTATTTTTGGATTTATATATTCATAGTTCATTTCAGGAATTCTTAGAAATGAATCTTTTGGTTTGTATAAGACTTGTATGTGCATCTGTAGAACTGCAAAATAATAGGAATTTATATCATATATTAGCTAAAACATATAGCCTTGTTTTCTTAATCAAAATTTTGAGTCAGTGTTAAATTGTTCACAAATCAATGCAAAGATCAATATTTCTCTCTCTCTGATTAATCCCATCCCTTGTTTGCTTGTTCACTTGTTATGGCCTTTGGTTCATGCTTGTGTAAACAAACAACTGGGAGTCTATTCCAGCAAGACATAGCATTTTCAATTTGAGAGGGAAGAATTCATTTCTCCAGCCCATTTGATGGTGGTCAAGATATGTAGGAAAAAAAGTTCAATTTGCAACATATTATAAAATAAACAGTGGGATTATTGTTGAATTTAAAGAAACACTGTTCTTTGGAATTTAAAGAAACACTGTTCTTGTGTTCCTTTTTTCAAAGGTTTAATATAAAACAAAAACGAAATTAAAAGCAAAGCAGTGATAAAATATTTGTGAAAGCATAAATCCCAACAACCTGTTTTTGAGCATGGACTGAAAAGTTACTCAACTTATTTATTTGATCCAAAAATCTTATGATTGTTTTATTAAAAAGTGTTTTATAAGTTTAATTTTAAATTTTAAATTATATATTATAGTAGATTTTCAAAACATCTTATGTAAGATTAAATTATCACACTCTCCTATTAATGTTTGATAGGCATATTAAGTCTAGCACAAAATACAAATAGAATCACACAATAAAAATTACACCAAATGTTATCATGTAGCACTTAGCTAAAATGATACCGTGTAGCACTTAGTTTCTTTGAGATTTAGAGATGACTCTCATGATATAATATTTAATTCATATTTGATTGACGATTATTTTGATATTATTTGTAAAAATTTGTATTTAATTTATAAAATATTACTTATTTTGATCTAAAAATTTAATAATTTTATTTTAAAAAAATTGATAAGTATAAATTTAAATATTAATTTATATATCATAATAAAATTTTAAATTATTTTGACATTGGATTAGAGCATCACATTAAAATCAGCAATGCGTCAGAGTCTTTGAATCTCTCGATCCAGAGCTAACAAAGCTACCCCTTTACCATTAACATAGTAGTGTTTGATGCGTCAAACTCTCTACAATTTCAATGTTGTAGACTCTTGTTCAAATGGCAAAGTAGCCATTTTCTAGCTAGATTAGATTCCTAGGTTTGAATTTGATGCAACACTTGGGCCCTCACCTCCCATTTTACATGCTTTACGAGTAGACTAGAAGCAAAAAGACTTCATAACTTTGTCCAGATTTCTAAGACTTTGTAAAAGAAAAATTTAAGATGTAGAACCGACAAATATTATAGCAGTGGTATTTTTTTTATTATTTTTGTTTTTACAATCTTAGATGTAAAACTGACAAATATTAATCCCATGATCAGAATTATAAAAATCCATTCCAAAATTTTTCTAAATTATGAATTACAGCAGCACCACATCAACGATCACCTTACAAGTTACAACAAAAGTTTTTTATCATTTTGATCTTTGATGTTGCAGTACAACATTTCTACACCAAATTGCTATATTACAGCATGATGTTGAACACAAATGTCAGATATATAATATCATAAAACAAAATAAAAAACAAAGTCTCCCACAAATGATACAAGTCACAGACTCAGAAGAGAAACACACGGAAAAAGAGCAGCGGAATTCAAGCAGTTTCACTGCAAAAGACAAAGAACCAATCCCAACAAGAAAAGTACCATGTAATGTCCTAGGCCAACCTTTGCATTAAGCAAAGAATAAGCTCCATTGGCAAGGCTTCCTGCTGGGGTGTTTGAGGCAAGAACAACAACCATCCAATTATCTTCGGAGCTAATCCCGATTCCGGCGAAGCTCGAATCGTTTATGAAGTTGGAGTAATGTGTGTGTGTGTAGTTAGTAAGAACAAGAGTTGGAACCAGTTTTGGAACGCAAACAGGCAATACAATTACATCAGTTGTGGTGTTGGCATCGATTTTGCATTTTGATATAGCCTTTGGATGGTCGGATAATCTAGTCTCGTTGCCATTTGAATTGCTGGGGTTCGTACATGGCTGGTCCTCTATGTCATGGGCAATTTTCTCCGCCACGCAGTGTGCATTTTTGTTCTTGCTGAATGCTGGGAGGTTCACTTATGTTCTGAAACTGTTTAAGTCCTTGAAGAAGATGGTCTTCCTCATCTGTAAAAGCCGAAAGGTATGAAAAAAAAAGTCAAATTATGTGAAGCACATGTGCATCACATTGAACTTAATGTCCATAACTTTTTGTCAAATAATACTAATTCTCTCAAAAAAATGGAAATAAATATACAAAATAACATGCATTAAATTAAGACTACTTTGACTGCAACACTGAAGTCTTGCCTAATTTCCTTTCTTTTTGTCAAATACCAAAAAAAAAAAAAAATAGAAATTAAAGGAGCCAAAAGGCTGGAAAACACACACATGCAAACCTCAGCATATCACAGTTTCATCATGCAAACCAAGATAGGAAAGAGATATAGAGTACCATCACTGTGAACTGGATGAGAAAGCAAGAAAATGGCAAGAACAACTGCAAAGAAAAAGTGGGAAGGTTTGAGAGAGGCCATGGCAAGCTTCTAAATTAATTCCAAATAGAGAGAAAAAACCAACAATCCAAAATCTTTGTTGTGAGAAAAGCTGAGAACATAGCACAAAAAGGCAAGCAAATAAAGGAAAGAAAAGGGGTCTATGGCTCTACAAACTTTTGGGATAAGCTTTATTTGAATTTGAATTGGATACTTCTTCTTCTTCCTTTTTTGTTGATGGTTTGCCTTGGATGTCAAGCCGTTTACAGGTGCCACTTGATGGATTCGTTACTCAATAAGAAAGCTTGTGCCTTACTGACATGTAAGAGTTAAGGCTTGGGGGAGGGGGAGGGGGGGGGCGCTCCACGTGGACTACACTCAAAAGTCTGGAGTTTTTAAAGGCTAGAAGATTTGAGTATAATCCAGCTCTAATTTTACAAACACAGTCATAAAGGCAAACTTGGAACACGAATCCCATTTTTCTCAGAACCTTTTGGCTTGTAATATGAAAAGGGTTTGACATGAAATGCTATTGAACCCAAGTTCATTTTATCTGTAATGTTTTCCTTCATATAATAGTGCAATTAATAGCTTTACAAAAGAAAAAAGGCAATGGAAGGAACGAAAAGGGGGAGGAATTGCTGGTTGTAAAAGGGAAAGGGAAACAAGCAAAACATTTGGAGAGAATATATTGAGAGAAGTGAAAGCATTTTCCTAGAATTTGTATCGTTTTCACCTTGTAAAGTTTCGTTAATTCAATCCAAGTTGTTTCCATATCACTCTTTTCAATGAACCATAGGTTAAGTTTGCAGTGGAATCGATGACAAAAGATTCTGAATTCGAGCCGTATCATTCTTCTCTAACATTAAAAAAATGAAGTAAAAAAACTCAGTCAAGTCCATTTCTCATATCCATTTCTCATTGTTCATATATTCACATTAGAACATATCAATTGATTAGAATTATATTAGAATGTAAATAATATATTAATAGTTATAAATTATTTAAATTTGATTTATATAAAATTTAAATTTAATTCAATTATTATCAAATTGTGTTTAATTCAATTTATCAAATGATTTGAATTTGAATATTTTAATATTCAACTTAAGTAATTTTTGAATTTAATTTAATTTTTATATTTTAATAAAATTTTATTATTTTAATTAAAAAATTATTATTTTATTTTTATTTATTAATTCAAGCTCAAAAATAAATAATTAAATTTAAAATCAAATTCATTTTTTATTTAATAAACAAATATAATTGAATGAACTTAAATAATTATATATTTATTTAAATTTAAATTTAAATTTAAAAATTAAATTTAATCGATTCTAATTTTAAGTTTCAAAGAATTCGAGTTTTTCAGTGTATTAACTCGGATAGAGTAGATTACATCGCATTTCCTGCCAAGAAATTGCCCTGTTCTCAAAGATAATGCTAGAACCTCCTCACTTCACATGGGAACCCATGTCAACAAAAAGTCCGTTTCCACTGACGTGTCCACCGCATGCCGCTGACGTGACACGTGGACACCTCTGCTGCCACGTGACCCTGCGTGTCCTCCTGAAACTCATTAATTAGCCTTTGCTTCAACCTTTCCCATTCACTGCATTGATCAATTCCTACAGTAGATATATGTTTTATTGTTCACTTTGTTCCACAAGAGCCTTAGCCAATGTAGTTTCTAGGTGTCCAAACAAAACCCAACTTAGAGTTGATAGAAATAATTTTTCAAGGAGTCAGAGACCTGTTGGATTGTTAGAGATCAGAATGGCTTCTAATGGGCAGCAGCAATTTCCTCCTCAGAAACGGGATACACAACCTGGAAAAGAACATGTCATGAATCCTATCCCTCAGTTCAGCAACCCTGACTGCAAGCCTTCTAACAAGCTTCAAGTATTGTTTCCTAAACACAAACCAATGTCACGTTATATTATAAGTTCACTTCTTGCATTTCTTGAAAATTATGGTTACCAGCTATCACAAAAATTTTAACAGTTGGAGTGCATAAATGAATTTGCTTCACTGCTCTTAAAGTCTAATCAGTAACCTTCTGTTATTCTATACTTGAAAATTGGACAGTCTTGTTCCTCATGGAAATACACCATGCATGCATGTTCGAATAAATTTCATCTCTTTTTGCAGGGAATGATGGCTTTAGTCACTGGAGGTGATTCTGGGATAGGCCGAGCAGTTTGCCACTGCTTTGTACTAGAGGGTGCAACCGTGGCCTTTACCTACGGGAAGTCTCAGGAGGACAAGGATGCACTACACACTCTTGAGATGCCGAGGAAGGATAAGACACCAGACGCGAGGGACCCAATGGCTATATCTGCTGATTTGGGGTAAGATAAGAACTGCAAACAGGTTGTTGAAGAGGTGGCGAAAGCATTTGGTCGGATTGATATTCTGGTTAACAATGCGGCTGAACAGCATAAGGCTAGCTGTGTGGAGGAGATTGATGAGGAGAGGCTTGAAAAGGTGTTTAGGATTAACATCTTTTCCCAATTCTTCATGGTCAGGTAATGCTTTAAATTTCCCTATCGAAATAAAGCAATAATTGATTGAATAATTGCACTACAAGCTTTAGAAAATCTGCAAAAGGTGATACAATAACTTTGGTAATTGTTTATATGGTTTGTTATTGATAGGCATGCTTTGAAGCACATGAAGGAAGGCAGTTCCATAATAAACACTACATCCATAAATGCATATAAGGGAATGATAAGCTACTTGATTACGCAGCAACCAAGGGTGCAATTGTGGCTTTCACTATAGGCCTTTCACTACAGCTTGTGAGCAGAGGCATACGTGTCAATGGCGTTGTACCTGGGCCCATATGGACTCCACTGATACCGGCATCCTCTGATGAAGAGGAGATTGCCAATTTTGGATCCGAAGTTTCAATGAAAAGAGCTGGCCAGCCTTCGAGGTTGCACCGTGCTTTGTGTTCCTAGCCTGTAACCACTGCTCCTCCTACATAAGTGGCCAAGTCCTCCATCCAAATGGTGGTGCCATAGTGAATGCTTGATGTGGTCATATGGGGTTAAGCCAAGCTCTCTGCTTTCAGTGTATTTTATGTTATAAATAGCGTTTTGTCGTTTGCTGTATGTAAGAGTGGTAAAGAGTATCTGTTTCCAAATGTAGGCAGCCTCGATGCTAAGAGTCAAATCTGTGCTTAGAGTGATGATGTTAGGGTTGTTTTGTTTGTGTAGAAAACATATATGGTGCTTAGTGTCACTAAGAATTAAGAAGTAATAATGGAACAAAGCAGGAGCCTTATCATATTTGGTCAAATGTTTATGTCTGGTGAACTTTTTTGTGGGATGACTGTTTTGGCTTGGGATGAAAACCAACCGGCAATCAGCAGCAGGTTTGCCATTCATTTCCATTCTGCACTTACAAACCTGCCAAAATGGAGATCAAAATTTCCTGCTGTACAGACAGGTTTCCATTAAAAAATATAAAAGGTTTTCAACATAATCATCGATAGGATCTGGGATATCACACGGAATCCATTCAACTTTATGGTTTACCAAGCCGATGTTTCGTCTTTTTTGGATAAATGCAAATTTTTTATTTATCCAACGGGCAAGAATATGCTGCTTCCTACTAAAATAAATCAGTGACAAAACTGATCAAAGAAAGTATTTATAATACAGCATCATCAGCAATCCTCCAACTCTGACATAAACAAGGCATCTTTATCTTTAACCACTTGGGATTAACCTTGAAAAGAGCATCAACATCACGAGCTAGCTTTACAAACTTCCCTGCAATTCCTTTCCATCCAAAGGAAATAGATACAAGCAACCGTGCTATCTTGAGGATAACCACAGGGAAAGATTTTCCTTTCAGCAACTTGCATTGACATTGACCCAAACAAACTCATCTGACCAACTTCAAACAGTCTTGAAAATACCAGAGCAGTGAAGTACTCCGGTCCACAACTGCCTGGAGAAGGAACAGAAGAAGAATAAATGATCTCTATCCTCAAAGAAAACATAAACTGGTAGCAATTGGAATACTCCATGTAGAGAGCCTGTTGAGAGTGGGCAGTTTGTCTAGGATGGTCATCCAAGCAATCATGGCATGCTTGGGAATGTTATATTGAAACTAGTAGCCTATCCCAATCCACTCTAGTCTGTTGATGTCGCATGGCCTGATAAGTGTCTGCAGCATTATATCGGCTAGATTTAGAAACAAACCACTTAACTACAGCATCAGAAGATGTAAAATCCATTAGAGAAGCAACCTGGTGCCTGAGTTTAAGCAGTTTCTTCCAAGCCCAGCTACTGCTTGAGGAGCATTGCACTTGCCCAGGAGCTCGAGCAGATTTTGAGAGTCGAAATATCCAAAGCATTGATGTTTTATCTGCATGGGCCATAAATCTCACATTTCAAGGACTTCCTTTTGGGCCAACACATTTCAAGGACTTCGGCACCTTCAAGTACCAAGCCGTTCAACTATCCATGAAAAATAAACTGGCTTGGAAGTTCAAATTGCCATGTCTGAAGGTGGTATCTATATTTTTCTGTCCAGCAGTCCAGGAGAGAAAAAAGAATACAAGCTAGAGTGCCAGAGGAAACACTTTGACATTCTCAATAGAGGAATCACGCAAATAAGTTGACAGCAGTTTCAAGAGACGAAAAAACTTGAAAACTGGTAGCGAATAGACTATTGTGATTGTCCTATACAATTGACAGAATTACTCTTATATCTGGGAAAGATCTAGAGTAATGCACTGTCAAATGCAAACTTAGATCCGTTATAGAAGAAGTAAAATGGAAAATGCAGTAATACAAAAGCTATGATGAACCGGATTCAAGGCCTTTCCCATAAAGATTTGACTAAGAAGCTGCCTTAGCATTGTAAAGCTAAAGCTGCTAATGCAAAAACCATAGATCTTAATTGAGGCCTATCAATTTTTTTAAATAAGGAAAGAAACCATTGATATTGTAATGGCTAAAATCCCAATAACTTCAAAAAACATATAAGCAAAGGTTTAACATTCCCTGGTCTTAACAGAAGGTGCAAAGATTAAAAAGAAATCAAATTCAGTAAATGAAAACAATAAAGAAAGAAAAATACAGCAAACTAATGGTATATAGGTGAGCAGAAACAGCTTACAACATTGTTGTTTATTCTTTTTTGGTTTAATAGTTATCCGCTAATCAAAAAAAGGTTTACAGAAAACAGAGGTGAACAAAATAGCTACAACCTTGTATCATCTGCTTCATGTTTTTATTCGAAGAAAGATCGTTACGTACAAGCACAGACATGGAAGAGGGAAATCAGGAAGATGTTTCAAAGGGAAATTTGAACACCTTTCCACCAATTCGCAGCTGTGAAACACTGAAACCCGTATGAGTTCTAGCTCCTCCAGCTACTTTATCAACAACTGCCCCCTGTAGCTCTGATTCATGTCGTCAGGGGGAACAAGTAATTAAGGATAGAATACGAGATTCAAGA